CTTTGGGTCCCCACTTCGCACTCCCCCTCATTCACAGTGATATGATTTTTTGTACTTAAGCCTTTTTAATGAGCATAATTAATTATGTTCAATGAATTACGTACAACCACTACCATTATCCGTTTTGAAATTTTTCTATTCTTAGGGTTCAGAATCCTTTAAATTATTACACCTCATTTCCCCTGCTGCCCACACGCAGTAACCACCAAGAGATTTCTGTCTGGATTCATTGCCTAGTCTAGGTATTTCACATAACTATGCTCATATCATATTTGTCTTTTTGACTCTAACTTATTAGCATTATGTTTTTTCAAGGTTCATTCATGTCAGACTATGTATTAAAGCTTCACTATAGCTGAATAACCACTTTTTGTTTATCTATTTTGTATTGAACAACATGGAGAAGGAACCATATCTTATTACCTCCTCTGGCTCCTCTATTGCCATGAGGTAGAGATCAGACATGCTCCACCTTCTGTTCTTCTTTACCTACTCTGACACCAACTGTTCCTCCCATACCACTCTACTTTTGTGGGAGGTTCGAATATTCATTGCAGTGGCCACACAGAACTCAGAGACAGTACTCATTTTTATGGGCCTTATTAGGGACTCTAACAGGGTACCGCCAAACAGGATAAAAAACCATTCAGGATGCAGTCATTGAGCCACAGCAACACCCATCCAGCAGCCAAGTCTCTCTAGTCATCGGGTTCTCAACCATGTGGTCCCTTGACCTCTCTGCCTCCTTGGGCTAGAAAGCCAGCTCTCTGCTCTGCCTCACAGTTTTATATCTCAGCATTGCTCTATGATCTCCTTGCCTTGCCCTCTGGTGCCTCTCTTCTCTGCCTCCACCATTTCAGACAGAAATCTTGCATGTGGTCCATGTACGATGGTCCTGGGATTTCTCTCTCCTCCTGCCTCAAAGATGGCTCATCCTTACAGCCAAGTGAGTGAGAACTAAAATTGACCAGTTCCCCCCAATCAGTAGTACTCAGACCCTATTTGCATATTCTCACACAATCAACTGATACGAGTTACAGAGGCATTGATAAAAGAGTCATATTAGGAAATTTTACTCCACTAGAGTTCATCTGATGAACAACACTTGGGTTCTTTCTACCGATGGGCTGTTGTAAATATAGCCAAATATTGAATATTAAACAGTAAACATCGATCTTGACTTCTTAAGGGTACATATGAAGAGGTTTCAAAAAGGTCCTGGGAAAAATAGAATTATCCATAAATATTTTGAAACCACCTTATTTATGGGTAGAATTTCTGAGTCATATGGTAGGTCTATGTTTCATTTTTCTGAGGAACCACCAAACCGCCTTCCGTAACAGCTGGACCATTATAAAATTCCACATCTTCTTGAACATTGCTTATATTTTTCCTTTTTCTTATAATAGCCATCCTAATGGGGGTGAAATGGTATCTCATTGTGATTTTGTTTTACATGTCTCTAATTAATAGCATTGAGCACTTTTTCATGTGTTTATTGGCCATTTGTGTATCGTCATTGGAGAAATGTTCAAATCCTTTGTTCTTTTAAAAAAAATTATTATTGAACTGGTTGTCTTTTTGTCGTTAGACTACATAAATTCTTGATAAAGTATAGATATTAAACCCTTGCCAAGCATATGGGTCCCCAAATATGTTCTCCCACCCTTTAGGTTGTTTCTTCACTTTCTTGCTGAAGTCATTTGATGTACAAACAGTTTTAGTTTTGATGAAGTCTGATATGTCTAATATGTCTATTGTTGAACATGCTTTTGGTATCGTAGCAAAGAATCCATTTTGACAACTAGATTCTGTGTCATTAACCATATATTGTAAGAGTTTTTAGGGTTTATTTCTTATATTTGGGTTGTTGATTCATTTTGAGGTAATTTTTACTTATAGTGTGAGACATTGGAATATCGTCAGTCTTTTTCATGAATCTAGTTGTTCTAGCACCATTTTTTGAAGCCCTATTCTTAGATCCATTAAATGGATTTACCATTAGACTTGTCCTCGGGTCTGCCCTGCCTCCAGCCGCGAGCCACTGCCCTCCTATCGCCCACCATGGCCCTGCTGCACTCTGGTCGCGTCCTCTCCGGAGTCGCCGT